TAGAGAGCTTTTCACTGCTGTTGCAACAAAACCGTGTATATCCATTTCTGTCTTTTTTTTGTATTATTTTTAAGATTTGAAATCTCCAGTTGCCCTTTACATTGTGCTAAAATTTCCGATAATCAGACCAACAGAAATGGTCCAAAATTACTGATTCTATTTACTTCAACTAAAAGTTAAGGAGGTTTTTCCTTCTCCTGTAAAGCTAACATTTTGCAGATACAAGGATTATGATATGTACACAAGGTGGTCTCTTTGCACCACAGTGCCTGTGCTCCCAGGCACATGGAAAGGTAGTTTAAGGTGGGGGTGCTGAAATTTTAAGCAGTGCTTACAGCGACATCATTTAAAACTATAATTATATATAAACACCAATTGCCAACTTCATTAAATGCATTTTCTTGTTTCTTCACTGGTGCACTTTGTAGTTCTACAATTACAGACTGTAGTCCATCTGTTTCTCTGCATACTCTGTTACTCCCATTTTACCCTGTTCTTCAATAGTGAGGACCACCACAGAGCAGGTATTATTTTGGTGGTGGGTCATTCTCAGCACTGCAGTGACACTGACGAGGTGGTGGTGTGTTATTCTCAGCACTGCAGTGACACTGACGAGGTGGTGGTGTGTTATTCTCAGCACTGCAGTGACACTGACAAGGTGGTGGTGTGTTAGCGTGTGTTGCGAGTGGATCAGACACAGCAGTGCTGTGCAGTGCAGTTCTGACCATTGAAGAACTTGTTGAAAGGAGGCTAACAAAGTATACAGACAAACAGATGGACTACAGTCTGTAACTGTAGAACTACAAAGTGCACCTATATGGTAAGTGGAGCTGATAAAATAGACAATGAGTGTAGAAACACAGCACTGTCGCCTCACAGTAAGAAGGGCCTGGGTTCGACTCACTGGCTGGGTGACCAGGGTCCTTTCTGTGTGGAGTTTACATGTTCTGCGTGGGTTTCCTCCGGGTACTCCGGTTTCCTCCCACAGTCCAAAGACATGCAGTCAGGCCAGTTGGACTCACTAAATTGCCCCTAGGTATGAATGTGTGTGTGAATGTATACATCTGTCTGTCTGCCCTGTGATGGACTGGCGACCTATCCAGGGTGTATCCTGCCTTCCTCCCAATGACCGCTGGGATAGACTCCAGCTCCCACCCCGAACGATGTGTGTGTGTTTAGAAACACAGAGGTGTTTGGTCAGTGGCTGGTCTGTGTGTATTTTTTTGTTTGACTTTTGTCTATAATTTGTTCAGTATGCTGCACTTTAACATGCTATAATGTAGCAAGAGACGACAGTATATGCACAAACACATCAAACCACTGCTCTCCCTTGTTCAGCACAAAATCTATGCAAATGAGCTAAGCAGTGACCAATCAGATTGTTGATTTGTGGCATGTTAAGTGATTGCGTCATGCCCAGAAACTACGTACTGATATTCAGTAACTGAGGCAGAGACAAACAGGTTGAAAACACAACGGATGTGTTAAGAATGTAAGATTATTGCAAAGATATTTTTAAATGACGCCTTCAAAGTGGCCAACTGCTGGAGAGGGAAATGATTCAGCTCACTCTAATGAAAATGCAGTGTTAACTTAAACAGTGCATGATTGCTGCAGAAATTATACAAATAGAGATATCATATACTTGTTTTTTTATTGTATTCTATATACTTCATATTCTATTATTTTTAGCAGTCACAGTTACCTGAAATCCGCTTCCCATATCCCTGGGTGCTGCCATTTTTTTTCTTCTGACAGCATTGGAGCTGACATATAGGAATCCGGGAAATCTAAAGTAATGAAGGATGCTACAACTACAACTAGTTGGAGGCACCTCAGCAGGCGGCATTACATACAAACATTTGACTCAGACATAACTGGTGCCTTCCTGCCTGACTGGCAGCATTTGTTCTGTGTCAGACACAGTCGAACAGTAATACATATCTGCAGGTGAAATCAGAGCTTTCTCAGAGCGACCCCCACAAAGTCCAGTAATACAGAGAAAAAAGAGGATGCTAACGCTGCTGGATGCTGCTCCAGTTTCTGAACAAGCTTGAGCATGTAAAGGAAGTGATCTGAATGATGGGTCCTGTCAGGAGACTAACAAAAACACAGCGCAACTCAAGTGTGATGTCTCTGGCAGTAACTTTAGCTTGCCTTTTTTGGTGCCTGATTTTAAAAGCTTGAACCCAAAATCATGTTCAGTTTTATTAGACTGTGTGTGTACGTGTGTTTGAGTGTGTGAAGGCTAATTAAGAAAGGGGTGTAAAAGTGAGATTTACTAATTGCCTGTTTTTAATTGGCTGTTAAGTGACCTAAGTTCACAACACACACTTAAAAATAGCCCAGATAAGTTTACAAGCTTTTGGTATATTCTCCATAAAACCCAGCCAACGCATTAAAGCAAGCCCAAACATGCAGCATGAACAGCATCACAGAGGAGGGAGACAGATGCTACTCTTAATTTTATTGCAAGTAGAGGGCGGTGTTCATGAAAAACATCTTAAGACCAGCAAAATAGTGTGCCTCTGTTCACTCCTCACTCCATAATTAGCAGCTGTGGCTGAAGTATTGGCTCTCTCCAGCCTGATGCTTCTTATACTTAGTGACCAACACTATCCTCTCTCCTGTCTAGATAATAAAAATGGTGAACTTGGTTAAACATTCCATGTATCATCCATCTCCCTGTCATCAACATAATCTACACTATATGGCCAATGCATGTGGACACCTATATACACTTGTACATCCTATTCTGAACCACTGCATTCATATGCAGTTGGCCCCCCTTTGTGGCTATAACAGTCTCTGCTCTTCTGGGAAGGCTTTCCACAAGATTTTGGAGTGCGTCTGTGGAAATTTGTGAGTTTGGTCAAAAGAGCATTTGTGAGGTCAGGCACTCGTGTTGGATGAGAAGGCTTGGCTCGCAATCGACTTTCCAATTCATCCCAAAGGTGTTCAGTAGGGTTGAGGTCAGTTCTCCATGTCACCCACTGGAGTTTCTCCATACCAAACTCGTCAAACCATGTCTTTATGGACCTCAATTTGTGCACAGGGGTGCAGTTCACGCTAATACAGAAAAGAGCCTTACTCGAATGTTGCCCCAAAGATGGAAGCATATAATTGTCTGAAACATCTTTGTATTCTGCAGCATTAACATTACCCTTCACTGGGCCCAAATCATGAAAAACAGCCCTGGTTATTATCCCTCCTCCAGCAAACTTTACTGTTGGCACTATGCATCCAGTAGGTAGTGTTCTCCTGGTTCAGCCCTTAGACTGCCTGATCATGAATTCAACCCAGATTTACACCACTCCAGCTGACGCTTGGCATTGTGCATAGTGATCTTAGGCCTGTGTGTAGCTGCTCAGCCAACGAAACCAATTTTGTGAAGCTCCCAACGCACAGGTTTTGTGCTGATGTTGCTTCCAGAGACAGTTTGGAAGTCTGTAGTGTGTAATGCAGATGGTAGATGATGTTTACACGCTATGCACCGCTCTGTAAGTTTGTGTGGTCTACCGCTGCATGGTTGTTGCTAGATGCTTCCATTGCACAAGATCGAGCAGGGCAGAAATGACGGAAAATTACTTGGAAAGTATGGCATATGTGTATATATATATATATATATATATATATATATATATATATATATATATATATATATATATAGTTTTATACTGTGTGTGGATATGACACCACAAAAAACACGATTGTATATTATGTCCTAAAGTGGCCCAGCATGTCCTAATCCTTCTGTTCCTGCTTTCCAGTGCTACAGGGCACTGAGAGAAGGGTAATCAGTAATTCTGGTGGTAAGAGCTTTCCATTTCAATATTCAGACGTGCCGCTCTCTGTTCTGAAGATGAATTGAGAGAGTGAATTGATTTTCTGTCTCTGAAGCATTTACTCATAGCGTAGCACTGATGTAACACACTCATACATAGTTACTCAGACATACGAGTGTACAGATATGCACATGTAAATACCATCTCATCAACACACATATACACACACACACACATACACACACAGACACAATGTGAGTATCTGCACGTCCTTTATCATAGTCTAATACCTCTGGGCCATTCAGCTAATTGAGTTCACAAACTCTATACACTCTCTGCGGCCCTTCCTATTCTGATTCTATTTATACCTGTGTGCGTGTGTGTGTGTGTGTGTGTGTGTGTGTGTGTTTGTGCATGCGTCCCAGGATAATAACTATAAAACAGTTAGGCCTAAATGATGGTCCTACAAAAGGGCAGTAAACAGCAGCGGTGATTTAAAGGCAGCAGCAGTACATGAGCACATGAGCGTAATATTTAGATATGAGTAATGCACACATCGTGCAGAACAACACACACCTCACTGCCATGTAATCATCACTGAGCCAGCGTGTGTGTGTGTATGTGAGTGTAAGAACAACAATTTATGTTTCTATTATCTTATCCAAAGAGCTCGGTGTTGTATTTTAAATAGGAACAGATCAAACACATTGAGCACAACACAATATACTACAGAGAGAGAGAGAGAGAGAGAGAGAAAGAATGGGTTACAGGCTGCTGTCGCTCAGTCTTTCTAGGATGGACTTTGCGGCCTGAATCATCATAAACACCACCCAGACAGAATGAATAATCAATCCAGGCTTCTTAGCCTTCACTAGAGGACTATACGAGTATGAAAATAAAGCCTGAATCCGTACCTGCAACTCTGAAACATGACCTGGCCCGACTAGTGCTGATAAATTTAAAACCCAAACCCGACATAAGCCCGCTTGTACACTGTAAACTGGCATCTCTCACTATCAACAGTGTTTATTATCTGTATATTCTTGTGGAATTGCCCATCATACCTGGCAAAGAACAGCATCCAGCCAGCTCTGACTGACTGTTAGCTCTGCTGGGTTAAAGTTGCTCGCACTACTGCTACAAACTACAGGCGAGCTTAGCAATCAAGGGGACAGACCTGCTGTGACTGAACAATAACCGTGCATGTGTGTGTACCTGTTCATTGACTCTGCAATGGGAGGGTCCGTGGTGTATGAGGATTCGGACGATGTCTACGTCTCCCCTCCAGGCGGCCAGGTGTAAAGGGAAACATCCTTTACTGTCAGCCACGTTAGTGGACGCTTCAAACTGCAACAGCTTCAGCACCACATCCCTGTTACATACACACAGAGACAGAAATCCCAATCACAACTAGGACCACAATCATTGCTCTTGGTGTTTTTATTCTTCCTGTTGCTCTTGGCCTTTCATGTTTAGCTTTTTTTTTGTTTATTAACACACATGGGCACATGCTGATTTAAAAATTTAACATCATTATGAGTACCTAGTCTTTTATCACAGTATTATCAATATGATGATTTTGTATTATATAAAAACATGACATGTAAACAAGTGTTCCGAAGTCTGGAATCACATTTCTAGAGTTCACTTGAGATTACTGTTTTTAATTAAAAAAGAATAAAAAATGAATGAACTGATCGTATTATCACCCTACAACTTTGTAGGTTTAAACTAATTAATAGGAAGCTGTAAAAATTGAGAAATGTTAGATGTGTCCAGAATGATGAACAGAGCTACAGATGATTCCATAATGACTGGGAAAGCTGTAAAAAACTGAGAATGAAGCTGTAAAATATCCAGAATGCAGTATAACTAAAACTTGGTGATCAGATCTCAGGCAAATAACATGGAGTTGGGAATCACCATAAATAGACAATAATGGTATATTTCTTATCCTTTAATAACTTTTTGTAATTCCCAATAAGCTTGAATTATAGAATAAAACATCTTAAAATACCTTCTGGAGTCTAGCTTGCAGTATTTTAATCTACACTATATGTTATTAATAAATAAAATAACAGCAATTATTAATAGAACAATCGATCACAACCTTTTGAATGTTCTAAATGTCACTTTGGCAATAGCTATAATGTGTTAGTGGTTATACCTTTTGAGGTATAACCACAACTTCTGGTATCCTGATTTTTCAATTGTCTTATTGGGCATTATGTCTTTATTTTCCTCTAGATTTTTTTACAGCATCACACATACCACACTGTGTATGAATGGACAGAATTTTATGTACAAACTAAATAAAACATGGGATATTTCAGTCATTTTATGAAATTAATATTTAATGTAGAATCATTTACTTTATAATCAGCCTGTGTTTATGCAAATTCCACTGCTATTATAATGCCAGTTTCCTATAGGACTTACAATGGTTCTATTAGCACCAGGTTAACAGTGGTGTTTCACTGAGACTAATAGCATTGGTATAGCTTATTACTGACTATCCCAACATGGACTTTATTATGCATTATTTACATTCACATAAGATTCAGAGACAGGTAGATAAATAAAGACCTGTAAAAAACAAGTAAAAGAACTTTCTTTCGAGTTACTGAAGCGTAATTCAGTCAGACAATTACATATTTTAAAAAAAAAGGTACATAAATGTGTAATAGAAGTTTGGACCTGCTGGTGGGTCCTGGACATAAAAAGGCATTGACAATAAATAATAAAAGAACACAGAAAAAGTCACAACTTGCACACACTGTGGTGTGGGTTTTAGGATTTTTTCCTGTGCTAATAGAGTGCTTGGAAAGAAACTCTTGAAGCGCCTGCTGGCTCGAGTTTTGATGGACATTTTCTGTATTGAAGCTTGTGAAGCAGCTAATGGGCTTGGCGGAGCAGCTAATGTGCTTAAGGTTAACAGCACTTTTGTCAATACACTTCTTTAGGCTGGATTTGACCAGGACGTTTCAGTTGTTGACTTTCTTAGCGAGCCCGACAACATGCCATAATTTGGCTTTGAAGAAGGTCATGGTGAAGCCAATCAAGCAGTTATGAGAGATGTGATGCCTCTTTCAGTGCTGGCCTGTAGAAGCGCCCAAGCAGAAACTGGAAGTTATGCAGAGCTTAAGGCCACCCAGAGAATCTGTCCCTCTAAACGTTACAGATGGAAATGATGGCCAATGTTTATGAAATCTTCTTCTGAGTTACTAGTCCTGTGGGTGAAACGTGGGCAGTCAACACTCTCAAAATAAAAGGTGCCAAAAAGGGTTCTCTGAAGTGATGCCACTGAAGAACCACTTTCAGCTCTCTAAAAAAACACAGAAATGAATGTAGCATCTCTGTAAATGAGACGTGTGAAGAGCATTTTTAAAGTTGAAAGAAAAACTCCCACATAAGTAAGGTTAAAGATTTTGTCCCAGAACCACATGTCCAAGCCAAAAACTGTTTAGGAATCTTTATTTTTTTAAGACTGAAGGTGAGAGGCCACAACTAACTCATGGTACAAGAGGATTGGGTATTGGAATGTCTTCATTAACAGTGTTGTGGGTGTGACAGATCTCTAGGGAGGTTATTTCATCCTTTTTTGGAAGTAAGACACAGGATTTGAAGAAGCCAGGCACAATGCACCAGGCCAGGAATTGATTGAAAATCTCTGTGAATGCTGAGGCCAGCTGGTTGGCACGGAGTTTTAATGCGGCGAGGAATACAAGACTAGACAAAGACAGAGAGAGACACAAAGGGACAAAGTGAGAGCATGACAGGGAGAGAGAAAAGAGAGGAAAGAGAGCTGATTTTCCCACAATTTTATCTTCAGAAGCTCTCAAGTCATCTATAAAACAACATGTACAAATACGCCAGGGAATTAATTACTGAATTTCCGAAATATCATCCAAAATATCATCTTAAAGAAGTTCAGAAATATGGTTAGTGAAATTTCTAATCAAGGTTGTCTTCACTCTGTCTGATATGTCCATGACTTAACACTGAGACTTTTTCATCCAGATTAATTCTAATGACAAGACTGATTGACACTCTAAGCAGAAATGGCAGATAGGATATTTCCCCCATGTGTCCTTTTCAGTCTTTAAATTCCTTCCCCATAGTCACATTACTGTAATTAAGCCTCTCAACCTTTCCTCGAGTCTAAGCACACCTACTCGGCAGTAATCTTAATCCATAAACTGGAAGGACTGCTGTCCTACATATAAAATCTGGAATGCTATTATGCATGAAGCACCATTGGCCATATTAGATAACTGAGTACTGGCTAGTAAAAAGTGTATGTATGTGAGTGACTAGTGTGGCCCTGATCTCCACCCTCAACTCTGATGTTGTGGTCTGTTTCACTGGGTTATATGCATATGGGTCAGTAGCTCAGACCAAACGCATTTGTGCTCAATGCTTTATAGTGTCTGTCTTGTTCATTTAGTTTGGGTTACACAAGCTGCACTTGATCATGTATTTACACATCTGCATTTCTTGCTGGAAAAAAATGTGTGTTTGAGCGAAGCACTAATTGCTAACACTTCATTTTCTTGGACATTTTATTGTAAATGCTTTGTAGATGCTTACCTTTCATTTAAGTTTGTTCAAATACTTATCTATTAAAGGGGAATTCCACTGATTTTTCAGAATTTCTGGATAATCCACTCATTGAGATGTAAACAAAATCATTCAGAGTGGTTTGGTGTGAAATGGTTCACTGTAGAGAAACTGACTCAAATTTCTTCACAATAGAAAAAGTGGTGATAGGAACCAGACATCATGACATCTACAATGCAAATATAGCCATTTTATTTACTATCCAAAATGACCAATGAACCTATATGTGTCTCTGTGCTTTTCTATGCAATGTTGATGATGGTAAAATAGGGATAACTCTGAAAAAATATGTTTTTTTAGTACTACATTGCCTTACAATGCCCTGCATGTACCTCTCCATCATGAATTGATTATAAGAAAATACATTTTAGGCCAAAACGTGTTCTCAAAATGATCACAAAACAATGTTTAGGCATCAGGTCACCTTTTCATAACCATTTCATGTAATAACTTTCTGTAAGGGAGCATTTAAAAGCTTTAAATGTTTCAGATGGTTCCTATCACCACCACTGTGAACTATTCTGACTCTGTTTCACTAGAAACACAGCATTTCACATCAAATCACTCTGAATTACTAGGTTTACATCTTAATCATTTAAGTTCCCTTTAAATTCATCTTAATTTTCACTAGCCCAAACCCTGGCCCTAATGCTAACCCTAATTTTTAACCTCAACCAGAAACCCAATCCTGAATCTAACCCTAACCCTAACATTGTCAAGAATCAACAGTTTTACCAGATAGCTTGCAAACAATTTGAACATCAGTAGATTACCTATAGGGGCAATCCAAATACTGTGGGAACCTCTACCTTTAGTTGCAGCAAGGCTGACCTTCACAAACTGTTGTTTTTCAGCAAAAAGAAAAGGTGTCACTTAACCATTCCATAAAATTCTCACAGGATATATTACAGCCTTATGCTGTGCTGGCACTACAGTGAGACAAAGTGAAGTCTCACTGCTGGGCTGAGTTAGACTGCTCAAATGTAGTAGCAAGTCATGTGGCCCACCATGTGACTAGCAGTACAAACAGAACAAACATAATCAGTCATACCAAAAACACTAATACAACCATTACTATGCTCAAGTGAAAAGCACTGTTTAACCTACAGGTCATATAGGATCAACCAGTGGTCAACACATGAGATTCATACTTACTGGAACTTCAGATACAACATTAATAGGAATAGTTCGGTGAAAAATCAAATTCATGCTATTTACCTCTTAACCTGTACTAAAGTCAAAATTGTTCCTCTACTACATGACTGTAGTGTATGTGTGTGTGTGTGTGTGTGTGTGTGTGTGTGTGTGTGTGTGTGTGTTTACCTGTGTCCATTGAGCGCAGCGTGGTGTAGAGGTGTGTATCCTGAGCTGTCTGCACAGTTCACATTCAGCCCTCTCCACATGCTGCAGAGAACAGAGACAAAAAAGCACTCAGTGAGAAAAGTACACAGGCAGAAAAAAGTGTACTGTCCTGGTAAATGTTGGTCCCCCAAGGAACAAATAGCGTAAAACAGTGGTAAAGCTGAAAAATTAAGGTTTATGCCCTGCCATATCCCTCTGCCAGGAGTGGATTTCAAAAGTACGTTTAGGAAAAATCTTATCTTAAAACAATTGTGAAACGCAGGCTGTGCATTCATAGTTATTCCGTTTAATGACATTCTGTAAGGTAGCTTTTAGGACATTAAACTCGTTAGACATCTATCACCATCCTATCACCACCTCTGTGAACAATCCTGACTCTTCTGTTTCTCTAGAGCGCAACATTTCACATCAAACTACACTGATTGTCTTTGTTTACGTCTTAGTGATTTATTTATGCAGAAACCTTGGAAAATTCTCTTGGATTTGCCCTTTTAGTTACTGCTCATTCTCAAAACTCCACACACATTTTGCAAATCCTCACATGGAGCAAAACAAAACACTGGCCCCAAAACCATCAACACTCCCGTAAAACTGAAACATTCACAGTAACATGGCAGATGAATTTCTAGAACAAAACGTTTTTCATGCTACAAAGAGAAACTGAACTGAGAAACGTTCTTTGCTGCTGTCTTTGCTGTACACATGGATGAGAAGCAATCAACAGAAAGTGAGAATGATTTTTTAGCCATGTACTCAATTACTTTGTGCTTGTTTACATGAAGAAAGCAAAATGTATAAGCTCCACAAAAATAAATACATACTTTTGTGAATGAATGATGATCTCAAACTCAAAACAGCAGACAAAAAACAAATCTGTTCTTTGTATCCTATGTGTTTTTTATTTGTAAACAAATAAACAAATAAAAAAACTACATAGGATCCCCCACTAATATCTGCGTGGCCGCAAAATGTGTGACACAAACCAGCGACACAAGCCAGCAATGTGTGAGCATTTGAGACAAAACATAACACACCACCAGCACCCCCGACCCTGAGCACAGTGCCTTCCAGAATTACTGACAGCCTTAAAAAGACTAACACAGAGTAACACAGGCCATCAATAAATGTCTTTGTTGTGTGTCAGCTTAATCATACACTGAAAATGTGAGAGACATCTAACCTTTCAGTGAGTTAAAATCATGCAAAGAAATGAATCCTTAATAATAGAGCTGTCACAATCATGAAATTTTAGCTGATTCATTGTCATATAAATAATAGCAATTTATGATTTAATTGTCTTTCCTTGTTCATTGTTTGCAACCATCAAGCCTAAAGTGGCCACATCTGCTTTTCATCTTCCTTGCTAGCTATGTTGACTTAGTAGCTAACACCAGTTGTGCTGCTGAATCAGTACTGACTCAACACTTACTCAAATGTCTACAGTCACACAGAATTACGTGTAGAGTTCATCAAAGCTACATGTTCATCACAACAGTGAAAATATCAGCAAAAAAAAAAAGTCACATTGAGAGTCTAAAAGAGGAGAGCGCACACACAAACACACATGCCTAAGGCCAGACGCACTATATGACCATAACTGGTGCATGAAGAGTCAATAGGACTACTGTCTAGACTGATCTCTCAAAATATTCTAATAGAGAGGGTGAGGGGCCAATGCCTTATAACATAACTGACAGTAAAGATGTGCATGGGCACTTGACTAGTTGGTTAACCGCTCAAGGTGCTTGAGGCGTATTTAAAAAGGTGAAAGGTGTATTCAGGTATCTGTTACATTTCATCACAGGACGATGGAAAAAATATACGAGCTAATAATTCGAGAAATTGCGAATTTTATGTTTTAACAGAACTCTAACAACATGAAGTATATTATTCTGCCTGAGTAACTATGAAACATGAGTGCCTGAACGCGTGTTACAGAGAACATGTTGTTAAGGTTGTAACTGAGAAGGCAGAGACAGTCGGCTGGTGCCCTGGCGGCTTTTTTGCTAACTACTCTAGCGATTGTTGGCTGAATAAAACATTGAAAATATATTTCTCTGAAAAAATGACAAACATGTTGCCTCATAACACTGAGCAGAAAATACCTCATGTTGAAGACAGCAAGTCTCCACCAGGATTCAACGTCGTCCCTGTCAGTGTTAGCTCATCTGACATGGCAGCTTCCATAACTCATTCCCACATGAAAACCAGTGCATCCATATAAAATTCATTTTAGTTTCTTTTTGCCTCTAAAAACCTACAAATTTCAGGTGGTGTAACCATCCAACCATACATGTTGATCAAGTAAACTATCAAAAAGTAATTTAGTTGTTACTTCTAAGTAAAGTAGTTTGGCATGATTTTATGTTTGAAAACTTTAAAATAAAAACCATCTTATTTTATATATATTTTTTTTATATATAAAATAAAAACCATGTTATATTATGCAAATCATGAGCTTTTAAATAACATTTTATAATTGTTTAAATTTTTTTATTTGTCTTACTTGTCATTGACCCATATATATATATATATATATATATATATATATATATTAATATGGTGCATATGTGTCATATATAAGTACAAGGAGTGGGCAATTTGATGATATTTACTGTTATCACCACAACATGCCGTTCTGAGCATATTCAGTCCTGTTTTGGTAAATTTTAAGCAGTCTGGTATGTGAAACCTCAAATAAACATATTTTACAACTCCTACTAAGTATCTACACGCAATGTGTTCAATATGTATTATATGTACAGTATGTATAAAATAACTAAAATAAGCCTAACTCTAAACATAACACTAACCTCAGTAACAAAAAGAAATGGTTTCACTATTTAGGTTTTGAAAATGAAACATTTAGCTTTACCAAAATAAAAAATAACAAACACTGCTTTTTTGTTCTGAAAATGTATGAAAAACACTCCCACATGCGCACACACACACAAACACAGCTCCATGTATGCACAAATACATACATTCAGTCGGCTGCATAGGATCACACAAGCATGTGAAAATCTCTTAACTTAATAGTGAAAGGTATGTGTGAAGGGGAGAGGGGGAGGCATCTGACCCAGGTCACACTGAGTACAATAACACTGCGCGCACACACACATGCACACACACATATACACATACATCAAAGCACTAGCTGTTCAGTACATGCCAGTACTCATCACTCAAGACAAGTTAAATAACCAGCAAATAGTTATTAGGTTTTCCTAACTATACTATGTTCATTATCTCATAACTTATGAGTCTTTGCTGTAAATGTGCCATCATTCTGATAGAAATTAAGCCAAAGTGTTCAGCTGAGAAAGAACAGCTGAGGAAAAAAAGGAGCCCAATTGAATTAGCTAGAAGCATTAGATTAAGCCAAAACAGAGAGGCTCCTCAGATCCATGTCTCTTCTCCTCAACAGATTAGACAACTATGCAGAAAATGTCCTTTACACATTAAGCATCACTCTGTTAAATCTGTATCTCTCTCTCTCTCTCTCTCTCTCTCTGCTTCAGCACAGGAACAATAAGAACAGTGCTGCTGTTTTGTGGCTAAACGAAGCCGTGTTTAATCAATAAAGATGGCTGATGTGTGAAATTATGGATTTGATGATAGTCAACAATGAGAGAAACAGAGAATGAATGCTGGCAAGGAACAGAAAGCAGTGAACAGCAGTGAATGTGAGAGGTGAAGAGGAACACCTTAAAGATCCTGGCTAAATACAGGCATATGAGCATAAAACAGCACACAGTGAGAAACAGTGAGGACACTTTCATCTGTACAGTATTTTTCATCCTGGGTGCTTCTCACTTGCACACACATACATATACACACATGCGCAGGCAGTAAGAGGGAAAGCCCTGCTGCAGCTCAGATAGGATGAGTCATCCCATCTGAGTGTGTGTGTGTGTGTGTGTGTGTGTGTGTGTGTGTGTGTGCAGGGGGAATATTGGGAGGTTCTGCAGTGCACAGAGCGTACAGTACAGCAATATCACCCAGCATAAACTCCACTCACTAACAGGAACACAATATTACACAGTATAGATGATATTATTCAACTTAACAAGACTGCGCACACACACACACACACACACACGCACAGAGAGCTGCAGTGGAGCGGGGGGCTTAAAGAGAGTACAGCTGCAAAACCTAAACACATACAAGATACACACTGAGAAACATTTAGAAGAAGGAACTACAGAACTGAGGAAAAAAGGTAAGAGTATGAGAACAGAAGGGGGAGAAAGAGAGACAGAGAGAGAGAGCGTGTGAAGGAAAAAAAGGGATGGAGAGAAACGGAGGGAAACAAAGAGGGAGAGATAGATAGAGGGAAAGGGAAACAGAAGGAGAGAGAGAGTGAAAGAGTATGAGAGGGAGTGAGGAGAAAAGAGAAAGGAAGAAAAAGAAAAAGAGAGAAAGAGAAATGAAGAAAGAAAATAGAATGAAAGGAGTGATATAGAAGAGAGAATGAGAGAGAGAAGAACAATGAAAATAGAGGAGACAAGGAAGAGGAAACGAGAACAAGAGGAGAAGAAAAAGAAGAAAGAACAGAGAGAGAGAGGAGAGAAATAGAGCAAGAGTGAGAGAAGGAAGAAAGTACGAGGGATAAAGAGAAAAAGAGATAGTAATAAAGAAGGAGGGATAGAGAGAAGGAGGGGAAAAGAGAGAGAAGGAGAGAAAGAGAGTGAAAGAGTACGAGAGGGAGTAAGGAGAGAAAGAGAGATAGATGAGAGCGAGTCATGAAAAAGAAAGATAGAAAAAGACAGAGTGAAAAGAGATGAAAAGAAAGAAAAAGTAAAAATAAAAAAGAAAAAGAGAAAAGGAGAGAAACAGAAAATAGCAGGGAGGAAATAGAGATAAAAAGACAGAATAATATAACAGAAGAAAGAAAGAGGAAGGGGAGGGAGAGATAGAGAAGGCAGAGAGGTGGAGCGAGAATGAGATATATAGCGAGACATGCTGGAGAGAGAACACACACACACACACACACACAGACACACACACACATTGTCTCAGCGCACACACACCTCCTCTCA